GCTAGTAATAGTTTGTCCATCACGAACACCGTGTTCGAACATAAAGGTGTCCATAAGTGCACTTGGCACTAGGACACCCTAGGTCGTAAATTGATGATTGACTTTGAAGTCGTATCATCTAATTTGCGGCCGTTTGTTTTGGACACTCAGGTGAAGAGAGGGGCTGAGCTATTAACTGATCACCACCTGGTATTGAGTTGGATCAGATGGTGGGGGAAGATTCCAGACAGACCTGGTAGACCCAAACGTATAGTGAGGGTTTGCTGGGAATGCCTGGCAGAAGAACCCGTCAGAGAGATCTTCAACTCACACCTCTGGGAGAGCTTTAACCGCATCCCAGCTGAGGGGGGGACATTGAGTTGGAGTGGCCATGTTCCGTATCTCACTTGTTGAGGTAGCTGTCTTGAGCTGTGGCTGCAAGGTTGTCTATGCTTCTCGCGGTGGCCATCCACAAACTCAGTGGTGGACACCCTGAGTCAGGGAGGCTGTCAAGCTGAAGAAGGAGTCCTATCGGGCCTTGTTGAACAGTGGGGCTCCATAGGCAGCTGAGGAGTACCGAAGGGCCAAGCGGTCCACAGCCTTGGCTATTGCTGAGGCAAAAGCTCAAATGTGGGAGGAGTTCGGTGAGGCCTTGGATAGAGACTCTCGGTCAGCTCCGAGGAGATTCTGGCAAACTATCAGGTGGCTGAAGAGAGGAAAGCAGCACTTTACTAACACTGTGTTCAGGGAAGATGGAATGTTGTTGACCTCAACCTGTGATGTCGTCGGGAGGTAGAAGGAATACTTCTCGGACCTTCTCAATCCCACCAGCACGTCTTCCATGGAGGAAGCGGAGTCAGGGGACTTTGGGTTTGGTCTGTCCATAACCATAGCTGTGGTCACTGAGGTAATTAAAAAACTCTGAGGCAGCAGGGCTCTGGGAGTGGATGAGATTTGCCCTGATTTTCTTAAGGCTCTGAATGTTGTGGGGCTGTCTTGGTTGACACGCCTTTGCAACATCGCGTGGACATCGGGGGCAGTGCCACTGGATTGGCAGACTGGGGTGGTGGTTCCCCTCTTCAAAAAAGGGGACCGGAGGGTGTGCTCCAATTATAGGGGCATCACTCTCGTTAGCCATCAGTGCAATCAGTGTGCTGAGGGTTTCCGGTTCGGTACCCTCAGGATTCCATCTCTGCTTTGTACAGATGATGTGGTCCTGTTAGCGTCATCGTGCCGTGATCTTCAGCTCTCACTGAAGCGGTTCGCAGCTGAGGGTGAAGCGGCTGAGATGAGAATCAGCACCTCCAAATCTGAGACCCTGTAAGGAACTCTCGTGAGGGTTTGGACCAAGATCACAACACAACAGACTGACGATAAATAATAAATGTTTATTGTTTCTAGGAGGGAAGTGACAGCTGGTCTTGGTGCTGGTCTGGGTTCTGGTTCTGGTGTCGGTTAATGGCAGGAGCAATCTAAGAAGCAGAGAACGGTTAGTGGTCGTGCTGATTACCAGAACGTGGAGAACAGTCAATAAGGAAAAACCACTAACCGTCTCAGATGATCTCAAGGGTCCTGAAGGGTGGAAGTGTTCAGATCTGCAGCTGCTGGAAGGGCTGAGTCCGGTGAAGGACGACAGTCGGCCGCAGCTGTCTGCGTGTCCAGAGTCCGTGATCCAAAAGGGGAGGTCAGGCTTTCCAAGGTCCAGTAACGTGAAGCAGATGTCAGGCAGTACCAGAGGAGCAGGCAGATCGGTGGTCGTGCAGGCGTGGGTCGGTACCAAGAGCAGATGCAGAAACAAATCCAAAAGGGCAATCCAAAGAGACGTGGTCGAGGCAGGCAGAGGGTCAAGGAACCAAGAGATCAGGCCAAACAAGAAGGGGAGGACAACCAGAAAGAGGGACAGGTAGCGTGGTGGGCAAGACAAGGAGCGAGGACTTGAACAGGGACAAGAGAGGGGAACAAGGACTACAGGCATGAACGCGAGATATCTAATAACTACTAAGAGTGTTCAACTATCGGGCACCGAAGAGTTGACAGGTTGCTGCTTATAAAGGGTGGAGAGAACAGGTGCAGCCAGTCAGAGATAATCAGGCCAGCTGGCTGCAGTGCAGACAATTAGTGCAGTCAGCCTTCACCAACATGCAGAGTGGACAGACTGGTTCTCCACATACACACACACACATGAGAACCAGGTAGAAGAAGTGAGGATGAAAAGAGCAGAACAGAACTGAGAAACCAGAGCTAGTGAACAGAGTGATAAAGATCTAAATACAGGGACGTGATTCATGACAGACCCTGGTTCTCAACCGGAAACGGGTGGATTGCTCTGTTCGGGTCGAGGGTGAGGTTCTGCTTCAAGTGGAGGAGTTCAAGTATCTCAGTTTTTTTTTTTTCACGAGTTCAATTCAATTCAGTTTATTTATATAGCGCCAAATCACAACAAAGTTGTCTCAGGGCACTTTACAGGAACATTCACATACATAAAAGCCAATTAGTAAAGTTCTCTATTTAAGGAGGCCAGCAGACAAGTTTAATCTTGGCTTCGTTGTAGTCTCCTCACGAGTGAGGGAAGAATGGAGTGTAAGATTGACAGACAGATTGGTGCAGCATCTACAGTACTGCGGACTCTGTACCGGTCCGTTGTGGTGAAGAGAGAGCTGAGCTGTAAGGCAAAGCTCTCTTGTTTACCAGTCGGACTACATTCCTACCCTCACCTATGGTCACAAGCACTGGGTACTGACCGAAAGAATAAGATTGCGGACACAGGCAGTTGAAATGTTTCCTCCGCAGGGTAGCTGGACTCTCCCTTAGAGATAGGGTGAGAAGTTCAGTCATCCGGGAGAGACTCAGAGTAGAACTGCTACTCCTCCACATCAAGAGGAGCCAATTGAGGTGGTTCGGGCATCTGGTAAGGATGCTCCATGGGTGCCTCCCTAGGGAGGTGCTTTGGGAATGTCCAACTGGGAATAGACCCCGGAGAAGACCCAGGACACGCTGAAGAGACTATTTCTCTCATTTGGCCTTGGAACGCCCTGGAATCCTCCCAGAAGAGCTGGAAGAGGTGGCTGTGGAAAGAGATGTCTGGGCCTCTCTGCTCAAGCTGCTGCCCCCGCGACCCGACTTCGGAATAAGCGGAAGATAATGGATGGATGGATAATTTTTTAATCTAAAGGGAATTTTAAGGTTTTCTTTCAACTTAAACAAAATCAAGTTCTCAAGGTGTTCGTGTCTTGAAAACATTAATGATTTATAAAAATAAAAACAAAATGTTGGGGAATGATATATTTCATAGATTTAATATTAGATTATCTGACCCTTAGATTAGTGAATTATGTGGCATCTGAATGTAAGGGTGGAGGCTTCAGGGTGGGGGGAGGGGTGTAAACATATGCCTGTACCATTTTTCAATTTATTGTTTGTATTATTTCTTAAATACCAGATCTGTTGATGTCTGTGTGGTTGTCTGAGCTCTCACCTGTCCATTTGTTTTCGTTTGCTTCAGGCCTGTATGCGAGACATCCCAACCTGCAAGTGGCTGGATCAGTGGACGGAGCTCGCTCAAAAGTACCAATCTCCTCAATCCCCTTCATGTTTTACTGCCCATTGAAGTGCAATGTGCAGACCGTCTGTATTTGTGTTTCAATTGCAGATTTGCGTTCCAGTACAACCCATCTCTGCAGCCCAGAGCTCTAGTGGTGTTTGGCTGCATCAGCAAGAGAGTGAGCCATGGTCAGATCAAGCAAATCATCCGTATCCTCAGCAAGGCCAGCCCTCTCCTGAGCATTGATAGAGTAAGAGCAGTCCTTCTGTCAATCAAGCCTGCTCTCTGACAGTAGGCTTTCACTCTAACCTGTCGGTCTTCAGCAACAGCAGTTGGCCATCGTTAGACTGTTTTACCTCATAGTAGGAGCGTAACGACATCTTGTCAGAATCAGAGTCAGAGTCAGTCAGAGTCAGAGTTTCTTTATTGTCATTCGCACCTCATGTGGTACATGTGGTGGAGTGAAATTATGTACACAGGGTCCCAGTTACATCCAACAATAAAATGTATAAGAAAAACAGTAATAACATCTAAGATATGAACTAAGAAAAACATCAACTAAATATACACTAAGCACTCATAACATAAAACATTGAACATCACCACAAACATGAACATGAGTCTGTGAGCAGATGTGCACGCATGAACACATCAACATTGAAACAGATCAGCAGCAACATGAAACAGATCAGCAGCAACATGATATGGTTTTTCACAGTGATTATTCTAGTTAGAGATTCATGAGTCTAACAGCCTCAGGGTAGAAGCTGTTCCTCAGTCTAGTGGTTCTACACTTAATGCTCCTTAACCTCCTTCCTGCGGGGAGCGGGGCAAAAAGTGTGTGTGCTGGGTGAGTGGGGTCCTTCATGATGCAGGTGGCCCTCTTCCTGCATCTGGAGGTGTAGATGTCTGTGATGGTGGGGAGACTGACTCCAACATCTTCTGTGCAGCCTTCACCACTCTCTGCAAAGCTTTTCTTTCTGCAGTTGTGCAGCCTCCATGCCACACGTTGATGCCGGAGCACAGGATGCTCTCCACTGCACACCTGTAGAAGGAGGTGAGGACTGAGCTTCCCAGACCAGCTCGCCTCAGCCGTCTGAGGAAGTAGAGTCTCTGATGAGCTTTCTTGATCAGGCTGGTGGTGTTGTTGCTCCAGCTGAGGTTGTCATTCATGTGTACACCCAAGTACTTGTAGCTGGAGACCACTTCCACCGCAGATCCTCTTATGTTCAGGGGGGTGTAGGTGTTTTTGTTCCTTCTGAAGTCCACAATCATCTCCTTTGTCTTCTTCACATTGATGTGAAGGTTATTCTCTCTGCACCAGCTCTCCAGGTGTTCCACCTCCTGCCTGTAGCTGGACTCATCATTGTTTGTGATGCATCCCACCACCGCTGTATCATCTGCAAACTTTACAATGTGACAGCCTGGATGGGTAGCTGCACAATCATATGTGAGCAGAGTAAACAGGAGGGGGCTCAACACACATCCCTGAGGAGAGCCAGTGCTGAGGGTTATGGTGGAGGAGGAGAGGTTGTGGATCCTCACTAACTGTGGTCTGTTTGTTAAAAAGTCTAGTACCCAGTTGCAGATGGAGGGGCTTAGTCCTAGTGTGGATAGTTTGTCCATCAGGGTTTGGGGGATCATGGTGTTGAAGGCGGATGTGAAGTCCACAAAGAGCATACGGACGTAAGAGTTTTTCTGCTCCAGGTGGTTGAGTGCAGTGTGGACCACAGAGGAGATTGCATCCTCTGTTGATCGGTTCTCACGGTATGCGTACTGATGAGGGTCCTCGTTGATGTTGATGGTTGTTTTGATGTGAGTCATGACCAGTTTTTCGAAGCATTTAGCGACTATCGGGGTGAGGGCCACTGGCCGATAGTCATTCAGACCAGTCACTGTAGAGCTTTTTGGGACTGGGATGATGGTGGCAGTCTTCAGGCAGGTGGGAACTGTCTCCAGGGTAAGTGAGGTGTTAAAGATGTCTGCCAGCACCTCACAGAGCTGATCAGCACATTCCTTCAACACTTTTCCGGGGATGTTGTCTGGGCCAGTTGCTTTGTGCGGATTAATCCTCCTGAAGGTACTCCTTACTTCTGCTGAGGTCACGCTGAGATGCTCTTCATCCGGTGGTGAGGTGAGTCTGGTGCTGGGTGGTCTGTTCGGGTCTTCAAAGCGTGCATAGAACTTGTTGAGGGCATCAGGCAGAGATGGGTCTTTGGGACATTGTTCACTCCTTCCTTTATAATCTGTTATGCACTTAATGCCCCTCCACATGCTCCGAGGGTCTTGTGAGATGAATTGACCCTCGATCCTCTTTGCATATGTGGCCTTGGCCCTCTTAATACCAGCAACCAGCTCTTTTCTTGTCCTACTCAGCTCCTCTGAGTTTCCAGACCTGAAGGCAGTGTTCCTGGCTTCCAGCAGGGTACGCACCTCTGCATTCAGCCAAGGTTTTCTGTTTGGGTAGCTTTTAACATTTCTGATAGTGGAGACTGTGTCAGTACATGTACTAATGTAACCCAGTACTGAGGATGTGTATTGGTCAAGATCAAGCGAACCTCCATTTTCAGCAGCTTCTCTGAAAAGAATAAAGCACCACAAGATTTGACGTCAAGTTGAAAACCGTCTTGTGATGATGGAAGTAGTTAAAGTCATTCACAATTAAAACACATACTCTGAGTGCTAACGGATCACACAGTTTTTTTACCTAAACACCTATGACTGCTCACTCGGAACTTGAGTGATCAATGACTTCCTGGTAGGCTACTGTATTTTCTTTTTTTTTTACCAGCCGTGTTACTGGGACTGTTCAGAAAAAAAATTACTGTACGTATTTGTGTATGTTGCTAGTACGTATTTAATTAAAAGTTTTTAAAATTCTTTCTGTGTAAATATCTCATGTTATACTGTGGACAAGCGCAGCCTATATATGTGCAAATTTTATTTATTTATATTATATTTAGTGGGCATGGCTTATATTCGGGTGCGCTCAATAGTCCAGAAATTGCAATATTTGATTTTGAACATGTGTAAATAAATGTATGTTTGGAAAGGCTCCTACAGTATATTTATATTTTTTTTCACAGCTAATTATTTGCAAGCTTCCTCTGGCTTTTTTTGTTTGCTTGTTTTTCATTTATTTATTTTTTCCCTCCTTCCCAGGGTCTGGAGAGCTGTTTGAAAGGACCAGACAATTACAACAGTCAAGTTTTAATAGAAGCCACAGTGATTGCTCTGACCAAGCTACAGCCTCTTCTCAGCAAGGTAAACTACTACTACAGAAAGTTACTGTGTTGTGAATTGACTCTATGTAAATAAATAAAATAAAATAGGTTTGATCACTCACATAGTTCTTTTTCTGCTGTATGGTCAAATATTAATTTTTCTAACACTTTTTGTTAATTTTATCTAATTCATACTTAAAGAAAGGTCACGTGACACCATGATCGTGTGCAGAGCAGAAGACTCTGGTCTCTGGTCCCAAAGTATAACATGGCAGCTTCCATAAACTGTCTCCTGCTGGCTTCTTCTCTCAGCTACGAGAGAGAGAAGGCAAGGATACTCATGCTGGTGAAGATTCTCAGTCATCCAGGACTCAAGGATACTCAATTAAAAATATAGTAAATTGAATGTACTTATATAGCGCTTTTCTATCTTATCAAGATACTCAAAGTGCTTTACATTAAATCTGTGCCCTCATATACCCATTCATACAGCACTCTACATCTATACAAAGAATATTCAGTGCTTGATCACATTCATACACCGATCATGGGACACACATCAGAGGCAATGAGGGGTTCAGTATCTTGCCCAGGGACACTTCGGCATGTGACTGCTGGTGGAATCAAACCCCCAACTCTTGCATTGGAGGACAACTGCTCTAACCACTCAGCCACAACTGCCATAAATAGTCATGTGTGAGTCAGATGGTAAAACATCAAGTTTATCACATTTATTAAAGTACAGTATTCCACTGGTCGAGCAAATCCTGAATTTGCCAAAATGATTGCTTAAAAACTATTTCCTAAAATATGCCTTTGTAAAATTTAGTTTACAGGAGTACACTTGCTCTTGCCGAGATCAGACGTTTTTCCCTTCCTCTCCCTCTCTGCTTTGCTTTGCTGCTCTGTCTGTCTGTGAAACTGCTTCTGAGCCTCTCTTGCATATCTTCCGAACCATAATTATGGACTTGATTTGATCAGTTGGTCCCTCAACACGATTGATAACATTTCTTCAAAAAGGAGACAGGCTTTACGCGAGCCGATGGCCCTGTTGGCACGCACACAGCTGGATATCTCATCGACTTGAAGACTTGATGTGTCTATCTCCACTGCCATTTGTGGATTTTAAGGACGCGTATTTAATTGGATTTATAACTGGTTCCTGCTTTTTCCTTCTCAAAAAATTAGCATATTGTGATAAAGGTCATTATTTTCCATAATGTAATAATAAAAATGAAACTTTCATATATTTCAGATTCATTGCACACCAACTGAAATATTTCAGGTCTTTAATTGTTTTAATACTGATGATTATGGCATACAGCTCATGAAAACCCAAAATGCCTGTCCCAAAAATTAGCATATTTCATCCCACCAATGAAAGAC